CATCACCCGGAGGGGGGATTGACATGGTAGTCGAGCCACGCGCTCACGTTGGAGAGGAGGTCGGCGATCGAGGTGCCGCTCTGGATGTCGAGCACGTTGTACGTTGTGTGCCTCAGCCTGGCCAGGGCCGAGTTTGCGTCGAGGAGGAAGAAGCGGGTGTCGTTGATGCGGACCGATGCCACTTCTCCGGGATCCGCACCTGCCTCGCCGAGGGCCCATATTGCGCCGCGGTCGGGACGCGCCCGTGGTCGATCCGCTTGCCGTCCCGCTGCTGCAGTGAGCAGGCAGTGAGACGACCGAGCCCTCCTCGATATGCGCATCGGCGGCACCGTGTAGTTCGCGGCGAGCCCAGAGAGCGGGAGCCGCTGGAGCGGGGCTCTGCCAGCGGCGCGCCGCAGCGCCTGCTTGCCGGCGTCGTCGAGGTTCTCGTCGTCGGCGATCGCAGCACGCGCCGCCTTGGCCACGGCGGCATCGTTCTGCTGCGGCCCGCTCGGCCGCGTCTGCGGATTGCAGCATCGCTCCGCCAGCTCGAGCCAGCGCGACGTCTGGAGCTGCTTCTGCCGAGATGGCAGCGCCCGCTCAGCGACGTGGGGAGGGAGGCGCGAGCGCAGCTGGTTGAGCCGATGCTCGATGGCATGCGCGCCTCGGCCCGAGCCGATGACCGCCGATCTGAGCGGAGCGGTAGGGTCGACCAGCGAGAGCCAGAAGGCATGGAGCAGCTGCCGGTCCTCTTGCTCCGTCCACGGCTCGGCGCTGCCCCGCTTGATCCGGTCGCAAGTTGAGAGGTACTGGTTGATAGCAGCCGAGATATCGTCGTCCGCGGCTGGGGAGTCGTCGACGCCGTCGCCGCGCCGCTCCATTCGCGCCTTCAGCGCCGCGGAGCGCTTGCTCTCGTCGGGGTCCGTGCACTCCATCACTGCAACGCGCACGGGGTCGGGACTCAGCTGCGCGGCGGTGACATTCCAGATGTCCTCGACGACTCGAGACGGCATGGTCTCCTGCAGGTACTTCTTGAGTCGATCCTCACAGACCCTGCTGTGGGTGCTTGATCCTGAGGCGCGCCCCCGCCGGTGCTGTGATCCTGAGAGGGATGTCTGTGATCCTGAGCCGCCCCGGTGCGCGTGGGTGAGCGGTGTGTGTGGGTGTGGGAGAGGGGGGGGCGGGGGGGGTCTTACGGTGGTGCTCCCTCCGCTCTCTCCCTTCACCACCGCCTCGCATTCAGCGCTATAGGACGTGTCTGCACAGCAACCATAGAGTCCGCCAACAACCCCCTTCATTTTCAGCCCCACCGGCGCACTCCTAGTCCTAAGCGGTGCCAAGCTCCCTCCTCGACCTCGTCCCCCATGGCGCGCGTAGCTATGATAGGGACCGCGGCCGCGGAGCCGGCGGCGGACGGGGCTGGCGCTCAAGCGCCGGCCACCGTCGTGCCGCCGGGAACGCGCCGCGGACGACCCTGGAATAGCAGCCATCGCGCGCACATGCGCACGGCGCTGTACGACGAGCTCACCAGCCTCGGCACGCCGGGCAGCTGGACGCACATCACCTCGCAGATCGGCGCGCGCCCCTCCCTTCGCCGGCCCGACCCGCACCACCACCGCCCACCACCTCCGCGCGCCCGTCCACACCTTCAGCGGCGTCCTGCCGCAGGCATGTTCTCCTTCACCGGTCTCAGCCCAGAGCAGTGCACGCAGATGGTCGAGAAGCACCACGTGTACATGCTGAACAATGGCCGCGTCTCCATGGCCGGCGTCACCTCGAAGAACGTCAAGTACATCGCCAAGGCCATCGACGACGTGGTGCGCAACTTCTGAGAGCGTCGACGATAATTGTCCCGCCCCGCGCGGCTGGTTGCGCTCTGCCTGCATAATGGTCCATTTCAGTAGTTTACGTGTGAGGAGGCAGGAACTGCATAGGAGAGAGAGGGGGGGGGGGGGGGTTCTCTTGGGCGCCAAAAGATCTCTCACCCCAAGCAGGCTGCTGCAAGCACCGCCACCAAGCACCGGGCACCGCACACTCGACACCCCGCACGCGGGTTTTTCTTGGGTCATCACTGCACTTGGTCCCCCCACATTTCATGCTCGCGCTCAAGTTCATCGTCATCGCCTCGCTGGCCTACTGTGATGAGACAT